ACCAGAGGCGGGGGCTCTGCAGCCCGAGGGGGGTGCCCCGAGCCCAGGTCCCCTTTTGGTGGCCCCACCACGGCCCTGTGACGGGCTGTGGGTCCCCCCAACCCCTCTGAGGCCACCCCATTAAAAAAAACACCCTAAAAACAGCTTTTCACCTCCCCCTTAAATAAAAAAGGGCCGTGTGCACACTCACCTTGCCCTCCACTTCCAGGCACAGGCCGTTCGCCACCTCGCGGATCTTGTAGATGTCCGAGAACATCTCGTCCTCTGCGGGGACAGACGGACAGACACACACGGACACACAGACACACACACACCGGGCCCGTCAGCCGCCGCCATTTCGGGGCCGCCCCCCCCACCTCAGGCATGCGCGGCCCCGCTCCCGGCCTACACCCGAGCCTCTCCCCCCCCCCCCCCTTCCCTCCCCCTCCCTCCTTTTTTTTTTTTTCCCCCATTTCTCCCCGTCCCCTTACGGCTGATGCAGTCCCGGTAGATGATCATGGTGGCGGGGGCGAGGCGGAGGGCAGGGCAGGAGCGGCCGGAGTGCTCTGCGCGGCGGCGGGCGGGCGGCGGCGGGCGGCCGGCAGCGAGGCGGAAAGGGCCGAGTCAGCGCCTGCCGGGGCTCATATAGCGGGCACGGCCCCGGCGCGTCACCGCGCCGCATGCGCGCTCCCGCCCCGCCTCAGCCGCCCGCCCGCCCTCGCTCCCTGGGCCCCGCCGCGCACGCGCGCGCGCGCGCCCCCCGCGCGGCCGCCATTTCGTGACCCCACCCCCCCTCCAGTCCCTCTTCTTCCCCTCACGGCGATGCCCCCTCGCCAAGGGGCTCGGTTGCGGTTTGGAAATGACAATAAACGGTCGTGATGAGCGAGTTATGATAATTACATTATGATAATAAAATTATAATAATGAAATAATGATTAGGGGGTCGTTAGGCTCCTCCTCCTGCCCTCAGATACATCGGTTTACACACAGACACACCACTTCTTGTTGATGGAGTGACTGGGGAAAGAGAAATGTCCCCTTCCCTTCCCTTCCCTTCCCTTCCCTTCCCTTCCCTTCCCTTCCCTTCCCTTCCCTTCCCTTCCCTTCCCTTCCCTTCCCTTCCCTTCCCTTCCCTTCCCTTCCCTTCCCTTCCCTTCCCTTCCCTTCCCTTCCCTTCCCTTCCCTTCCCTCCTTCCCTTCCCTTCCCTTCCCTTCCTTCCCTTCCCTTCCCTTCCCTTCCCTCTTCCCTTCCCTCTTCCCTTCCCTCTTCCCTTCCCTTCCCTCTCCCCTTCCCTCTCCCCTTCCCTTTCCCCTTTCACCCCTTTCTTTTCCCCTTTCCTTTCCTTCCTTACGGGCAGTAATGCTGCCCAAGGCCTCATTTTACCCCCCTTGTATACACTTCCACATCTCACCTCAGCTCCATTAAAATAAATGTAGACCTCCCTTGAGCCCTGATTCTTCGGGGACGTTGACAAAAGACCTTCAGAAGACATCATGGGACTTAAAACACTTCATGCTGCTAGCAATCCCTGACATGACAGAGCTACCAGAATCACGGAGTTGATATACAGAATACCAGGGCACAGGATGCAGTTCCCTGTCCCTCACCCTCCTAGGCAGTAAACTACTCATTACTTTTTTCGTGGGGGTCAAAAGAGCTCCTCTTTATATCTCCTCCTGCTCTGCTATTCCTTCCTTTGCTCCATATCCCAGTGCTTTTTATTTTTTTCCTTTTCCTTTTTCTCGTAAATACTTACATAATCTAAATCTCTACAACCTCTACGTGGTTGTTCTCCACCGTGTTTTGCTTTCTACGACCACTTCAGACCCAAAGAAGGGGCTTCTGCCCCCAAACTCGTGCTTTTAATCGGTGTCAGCTGGCCTGATAAGAGCTATTCCCTGTCTTTGCGAGCCTTGCCACAGTGGAAGAAGAGCAGCTTACGTCTTTAGCAGTGGGCTGAGTGACGGGAGAACATTTGGCTCCTTCTCCGCAGCTTAATATGCAGCTAAAAACATCCACTTTGTAGGTGTGCGTCGACTTGGTTTCATCTTGAAGAGACTGTTCTAGAAAAAAATGAATATTTCTATAGTAGCATCAATTAACCTCGTACAAATTCAATGGTTGCCTGTTTACTGGAGTGAGGGTAGAAACCCTTTGGCATTCCTGGTAGAGTAAATGGACCTCTGTGTGGCTTTGCCTGCAGCATTCAGACCTGCAGCCATGAAATGGGAGATTTTGTTTAAAATGCATCAGTTAAATAGGTCAAGGCTCCCTTGCGAACACCAATTTGATGTGGAGTTAAGCTAAATTGATGTCAAATATTAAACACTTTAAATGAAACCAAGGAGCATTGACAAGGTTTTGCGTCCTGTTAACTTGAGTTGCTTCTAAACCTGATTCAAACGCAGACAACTGTGAATAAATCCTGGGACTAATCCTGGGGATGTTTAAATTGCTGTAGGCTTTGCTGTGGTCTAACCCGGGTGGGCAGCTCAGCGCCACCCAGCCACTCGCTCAGTCCTCCCCCAGCGGGAAGGGGCAGGGAATGAGGACGGTGGAAGTGTGAGATCCCGTGGGTTGAGATAACGCCAGCTTACCGGGGGAAAGCAAAAGCTGTGCGCACAAGCCGAGCAAAACAAGGCGTTGATTCACCGCTTCCCATTGGCAGGCAGGTGTTCAGCCACTTCCAGGCGAGCAGGGCTCATCACGTGGACCTGTTTCTTGAGAAGACAAATGCCGTCTCTCCAAACACCCTCCCTTCCTCCTGTCCTCCATCTTCTATCGCTGGGTGTGCTGCCACATGGCATGGGACATCCCTCGGGCCAGTTTGGGCCAGCTGTCCTGGCTGTGTCCCCTCCCAGCTCCTGGGGCACCCCAACCTCCCCACGGATTAGAAAATGCATTAAGATACATTTTTATTTATTTATTTATTTATTTTTTCCAGAAAACAGCATTGTTTGAAGAAAACTTTAGTGTTCCTCACTTGCTTTCCATGTAGATACCTCACACATGGAGCCAGGGTTAACACATTTCAAAGCAGTTGTTGAAGAAGTCAGTCCCTCTGCAGCAGGGGGCATTTTAGATGCTGATTGACATCTAAAATGACATGACAGGTTTTCCCGACAGTGCATCTCATCTCTGGAGACATGTAAATCCCCAGAGGCTGGCAAATTCCTGTGTTTTTATAGATAAGCCTTTGAATATCGCTTGAGCAGGATTTTCTAGGCAGGTGCCTGCAGAGTTGTGCGAGAAGCCTCTTGCGTGGAAGATGCATCTCAGCTAGTCCTGAATTGCTGCAGTGCTACTCAATTCCACTAAACATTAGCATCTGGATATGATTGTGCTCAGCTAATTACTTGTGCTTTGGATTAAAATGGCAGACGACAGCTGCTACTTTGCTGTTCTTTCTCTAAGCAAGCAGTACGCTTTCAGCCCGTCATGGCGACTTGCCTTGAATGGTCTGGAAAGCGAGGAGATCCTGCCCACAACTGAGCCTCCTGCAAGGTGCAGTGTGTTAATAAATGAGATATGAGGCTGAGGAAGAGAGGTGAAGCTGGGCAGTGTGTTCTAACCTTTAAGGAGGCTGTGAAAATCACGTAGGAATAATAACGTTTTGTGTCCAATACTGGATGTGGGGAGAGGGCCCTGAGATGTGTATGGCCTGGTGGAGAAAAACTGAAGGATTGAAGACTAACCAACACAAGACAAGCCAGGCAGTCACCACGGTTCTTTACATAGGGTTTACACTAGACTTGATAGGACATTCTTGGTTCCCCAGGACCTGATGTCAATACCCTGGACCACCAGCCCCTGCCCCCATGAGGCCACAGCAGGGCCGAGCTCCAGCTCCCCACAGCCCTGCCCTGCCCAGCCATGGCCCCACCGTGCCAGGCCCATGTCCAGGCCTTGGCTCATTCCCCAGGGAGGTGCCTGTGGTGCCCCCCTTCAGTCCCTGTCAGTCATTGGGAACTTCTGGATTTCAAACCAAAATTTGTAACCTGGAGCTCCCTTGAGAGCATACTAAGCCAGAATCCCAGACCACAAGACAGGCACTGGGAAGAGTTGTGCTGACTGTGAGTGTAGTTTGTCTGGTTCAATGTACTCACTGTGGAATATGGATTAGATAGATAAGGGATTGGATGGATAAAGGATTAGATGGATAAAGGCTCCACTTTTCAGAATGCTAGAAAGGTCTGTTAGCAATCCCACCTGCACTCAGAAGCAGTGCAGATGTCCATTTGACTAGAACTATGGTAGAAAAGCCCAGTTCTGCTCCTGGATCCTGGCTGATTTTGACACATTGGACAAACGGCCTGGATAGGCAGAAGACACTTTATCAAGACCATCGGGCCAGTTTTCTAAAGGAAAATCCATTGAGGGCTTTTAAACACAGAGCATGAGGTTGAGACAGGCTGTGAGCCACACGCTGCGGGGGTGTGCTGGGGGAAGTGCCGCCTCATCCTGGCCCTGGCCCTCTGCTCCTCCCCAGCCTTCCGCCGCTGGCAAATGCCAGAGGACAGCGAGCAGATGCTGCACCAGAGGGATCTCGGTTTGCCTCCGTATGGCTCCTCTGGTGTCATGTTCCTGAGCGCAGAGCAGGAACAATCAAGTGCAGCCACAGGACAGAGAACTGGGCAGTTCCAGGACTGTCAGTAGAAAGGCAAGGACTCAACAGCACTCCCTGTCCCTGCAGGCTTCTGAGGATAGGCTAGACTAGAAACTGCCCGAGGTGAGATCAGGAAGCATGTCAGATCCATCATGAATGCAGATAATATCCGATCCTGCCCTGCAACAGAGAGACAGCCTGCCCCCAGGTCCTGTCTAGCCCTATTCTGTGTGGCACGATGAGTCTTAGATGAGCCGTGTGCTGTCATTTACACCTGTTTAGTATGGTTACACAATGGGGATAAAAATAATTCCCTCATATTCCTATTCAGAATGGACAAGAGGGTTTGGAAAATGTTGGCAGAGAGGAGTGTGCTCATTGTCCTGCATGGAAAGATGGGTGTGTGTGGAAATTACGTGCACAGAGGGAGAAGTTTTCAGGTTCAGCAGTGCCCAAAGCTTTAATCCTGGTACAGTTCCATACTTTAGCCCTATTTGAATATAAAATTATACGGTCCTTTGACTCAGATTAGAGATATGTGGCAGAAAGGGCTCCTTCCACACCAAGCTGAACGAAAAGGGGAGCTGTGATTTGACTGCTTGTGCTTGCAGTGGTCAGACTCTGCCCTGTCTGCATGCAGCGATCCCTAAGCTCACAGGAGTTTCACCCAAGGTCATGACTTCTATCTCCAGATGCGAACAGCTTTTTTTTTTTCTTTTCTTTTTTTTTTTTTCTATCTAAGGCCAAATAACACCTCTGCCTACGCTGAATTGTGTCCTTGGTTAGCCAGCCCCGTTGGGAGGACTTCAACAAGCCTGTCCCCACTAGGTGTCTGTGTTTGCCCTCCAGATGCAAGGCTCCCTGCTTCTCGGGGTGCCTGTGATGTGCAGAGATATCCCACTAGGTGGCAGG